TGCTGCTGGTGGTGTTGTTGTTGTGGTTGCTGTTGGTGCTGGTGTTGGTACTGGTGCCGGTGTTTCTGCTGCTCTTTTTCGTGGTCGTTTTCTTCTTGTTCTTGCTCTGGTTGTTCTCGTTTCTGCTTTGGTTTCGCGCTTGCAAGAAAGGTTACCAGGTTCTACATGAAGGAAAGACTCTGAGACCCAGAGCCCCACCTCAAACCGGTAGACCCCTAAGCGAGCTTTCCTTAGTGGGGTTATGATCTGACACATTGTTGTAAGGGCTATAGTCTACAACCTTAGCTCTAGCTTTGTAGGGTTTGTAACAATAGAGCTGTGGAGCTTGAAGCCCCTAAACCCGAAACCCTCAAAAATCCGAAACCTCTGTAAGCCCTAAAGACCCCTCCTCCAGGGACTCGCAAGAACTCCTGGCGGTGGCCTTCGGGCGTGGCCACGAGGACATCGACGTCGATGTCAGCTCGGCGACCCAGGGAAAGAGCGGAGCTCCCTTGGAGCATGGTCTGTTTGCTTTACGGTGCAGTGGGACGTAGTCCGGTGATTAGTACTTATAGAAATATTACGGCAGTAAATCTTCAGCTAGAACCCCTCAAGCCTCACAGACTCGAGAGAGCATTTCGGATAGTCACTGCATGCATGAGGACAATTTCCGGCTTGAGTTCGCTGGCGCCCGAAAGGGAGGATCGTGCAACCTAAAGGCTATAGTGGCTGTAGACTATAGACTCGGCTATGAACCACCATCCGCTTGTTTAGGGGAGGCTCGAGCGCTCCCACCCCCGTCCTCTCGAGCATGGAGAAGGCGGCGGTATGGTGACATGTGACAGAACTGTGACTCAGAGGGAGACAGAGAAGGTGCCCCAAACCCTAAATTCCTAAATCAAACCCCAGCCCCCTGGACCAAACAAGCACGCCGGCCCGACGCCATGGCACATGGAGCCAACAACTGGTTCGCTGAGGCCGAGGGGAGTTCATGTCCGATGAGTTGGTACGACTTTCAAGCCCTGGCCAGTTGCAGCAGCTCGGCAAAGACTTCGATGGCCCGTCGGACGAGGAGAAAGAGCCCGAGGAGGAGCTGGGATCTGCACCCTTCTGAATATTGCCCTGGTTTTAGATCTGCAGAAATGAACCCCCGGATGTGCTCGCTGGCTCCAGCTCTCGTCCTGTCCAGGAGACGCTGGCGCAGCGCCGCGCCCGCGCGAAAGCAGACCAAGAGCGGTTCGTGCAGGTCGGCAGTCGGTACAGGGCGTGATAGGGTTCAAGGGGTTGAAGGCTTTGGGGCTTGGGGTCTTATAGGGTTCAGGGTTTAGGGAGACGGCCGAGGTACAATCGGCAGAGTGAGGGAGTGTTGAGAGTCAGGTCTTAAGGCTTGCCGAGGTCAATCGATGAGCTTCGGAGTCTGGCAGCGCGAAGCTCCCTCCGCCGCCTCCTCCTCCTCCTTCCCTTCCGACTGCTACCACTACCGCCGCAGCTACTCTTACTACCACTACTACTACTACGACGACGACGACGACGTCGACGACAACGACGACGACGACTACTACTACTACTACGACGACGACTACTACTACAATTACTACTATCCTACTCCTACTCCTCCTGCAGCAGCAATTCTACTATCCCGATTCAGGAAGAGCTTCGGAAGAGACCGCCGCAGCAGAAGGCATCTGTATGTTTCTGGGATCCTGGGAACAGGCTCCTTGTAACGGGGTTTAGAGACACTGGGTATGGGGTTCTGGGGTTCGCGGAATCCCGCAACTCCGTCGTGGGGCGTTGTACATAAACCCAGAAGTTTGATGGTACCACCACAGCCAACTCTTAGCAAGTGTAGCATCTGTGTTGTGTTCGCTCCGAGCCTTAAGACTTTGTTGCGCAGCCGCATCTTTAATAACAAGGCCATTTTCGTTGAAGCGGGGTCTAGGGTTGACTGAGGGGCCTAAAGCTACAGCTCTCAGGCCCTAAACCCTTCAAGCTTCATCCCTGGTGATTCAACCCTCAACAAGCCGATTGCAGGTGGATGCGTATCTCGCACCCATCGTCCGCGCGTCACAAGCCTTCGATGCGCAACATGAGGCGCCTGGGTTGAGGATTTCGGGGTTCAGGGTTAGACAGTTGTGCTTCAAAGAGGTGCCTTCCTTGGTTAGAGAAATCTTACTGAAGGACTTGGGTCAAGAGCCCGGTTGATTCTCCTTTAAACACGGGATGTGTCCAGGGGGGCAGCAGAAGTCTCGAAGTCATCGCTGAGGCTCACAGCGTAGTTAAGGGACCCATGCTTTGATCCTGGATGACCCGCAAAACCCTTAACTGTAAGAAACCCCTTCTGTTGGCGGCAGCCAATATGGCTTTTACAGATCGGACCCCTGCAGGTAGAGCTCGCGGAAGCGAAAAAGGAGCGCGAGGCCAAACAGGCGCTCCGCAAGACTTTTTCGGATGGGAGGAGGCTTACATTGGGAGAGGATTGGAGCTGCAGGTTTACATATTATATACATGTACACCCCAAAGCCCAAATGCACCATTATGGCTAGCCCTACGTAGAACCCGTTACTATGTCCTCCTCGACGTATGCCTGCGGGTTTCCCATAGAAGTATAGCAGAAGAAGTCGTTGAAAGAGTTCGAAAGCACCGCAAGTACCGAGGAGGTTTCACTTACACAACGGATGTTGTCTTCGCGCGTACTTGTGTCCTGGAAGTAGGCGCACGCGCAGATGTTACAAAGCAAGGCTTTGGCATCATTAGGACGACGAAAAATGCAAAAGCTCGAGGTCTTGTCTTGTGCGAGTGCGGAGTATTACTTGAAAACATGACGGAAACCCTGGGTTCCATGCTGAATTTGCAGCAGGGGAGCGGATTCGCTGGTATTTGCTGAATTTCGCACACCTACACAGAATCCCGATAGTCGCGTTAGTTGGTTGTGTTTTGGTTCGGAGTTCCGGGTTTCTGGTGTTGAGGACTGAAACAAAGTATGGTCTTGTCTTGTTCGAGTGCAGAGTAGTACTTGAGTACATGACGAAAACCCTGTGTTTCATGCAGGATCCGCAACAGGGAGGCGAAGTAGATGGTATTTGCATCACCTCGTACACCTCGACATCATCATCATCACCATCATCACCATCATCACCATCATCACCATCACCATCATCATCATCGTCATCATCATCATCATCATCATCATCATCATCATGTCGTCATTGTCATGTCGTCATCATCATGTCGTCATCATCATGTCGCCATCGTCATGTCGTGATCATCATATCGTCATCAGCCCCCTCGCCCCCCCAAGTTCCAAAGAAACCCAACCTCGAAAGTCCTGAACACAAAGTAGTTCCCGGCAAACCGCAAGGGACAAACCTCCTCTGAGCCTCGCGGTGTCAGTGGATCGCCCTATCGAAGATCTCCGATAAACTACGAAGTCGCAGAGAGAGCTTGAGAATTTCAGGCGATCTTCTCAGAGATGACGATGTCCTAAACCCGAAGTTCAGATCCCCTATGCCTAAACCTTGCAGCCCTGAGCCCTAAAACGCCCCGTGAGCTTGAATGCCAGAGTCGTTCTTCCAGTAATTTACCAGGCCTGTGCTGGCTAACAAGGCTTACCACTGCGACGACGGCTGCTGCTACCAAATGCTACCCGTGTTTCCACGGCTTACACCTGCGAAGTCTAAGTAACTCGCGAGGCTATGTTATTGCGGTTCTGGGAGGCTCTGGAGGCAGCTGAAGAGGCCCCGAGTCCGTCGCCGCAGATGCCCGATGACGTGAGCGACGAGGAGCACAAGGCTCAAGAGCAGGACAGCACCAAGCAAAGCTGAGGGCTTTCGGCAAAAAGGGTCAGTATCCATCCTCAATCTCACAAGGACTTTCGCGCTGCAAGCCTTGACTGTCCTGAAAGCTTCCTACATTTCGGCCTCATGTCCGGACGATCTCAGCAACTTCACACCAAAAGCCATTCAGCCCTGAACCGTCGGACTAGATCAAGAGGCATCAGCAACAGTTTGCCAGGATCCAGCACCACCAAGGCTTTCGCAAACTTTCCGACGTAACCGTGTCTATTCCTACTACTTCCAACCGAAAGCCAGTTCAAAGCACGTCACATGACCGAAGGAGCCATTCGATGTCCTCGACTCCTTGAAGGCTGACAGATTGCAGTGGAGGGTGTGGGCTTCGATGCTTGAAGGGTCGAAACCACTCCCTAAAGATCGGCACTTCGCATTCCGAGGCACACACCCTGTAATCTTTCGAGAACAGTCATCAGAACTCATCGTCAAGAAAGCCCGTGCTCCCTTGGGACATCCGGCACGGGAAGGCTTTGATTTATCCGGTGTCGAAGCCACGTAGCCAACGGCAGGCACCAGCGAGGTCGACAACTGTCATCCCCTCTGCCGCGCTTGAGATCTTCCGCCTTGTCGCGTCTGGGTTTTAATTCAGAAGTGTTTTGGAGTGTTTGAGCGGGGGGGGGGGTCGAAGTCGGCGAAGTTGGAGCTTTTGCAGTGTCGAGAGCTCAGGGCTGATCGGCTAATCCTGTTCCTGCAGTATTCCGATGCTTTGTGCTCGCGTGTAAGCTGCTGTAATATGACTCTGTAGGACTCTTTACCTTCCCAGTCGAAGGCTTTCGATCACGCACCCTTCTGCGAACCCTCACGCAAGAGCCCGCACTTTCCTACTTTCCTCGGAGGTGGCGGCTCGAAGCTGCACAGTGCAGACCGTGATGACTCACTGGAAAGAGGTCTTCCAGGCTCGTGTTTGGGAGGGGTTTTGATCAAATTATGACGGTATCTTACTATGTCTCGGGACCGCTGCGCTTTCGAAGAGTCCGGCTCCCTTGTCTTCTCGCTGCTGGTAAGAAGGCTTTGGAGTCGAAGCTCAGGGTACCGAGACCAGGGCTCATATTGAGGAGCTCCCAACCAAATTGTCTGAAGCCTTCTTGGCTTCCAATCAGCTTTGCAAGGGGAGATCTGGGAGAATGCGTTCAATATAGCGGCCGTAGTAATTTTAAACGCTTCACGTCGTCCGCCTCGGCTCGGCTGTGCTTGAAGCAGGGGCATTGTTTCGGAAAGCAGCGGGTAGGTCACACAGGTGCGGTCTTGAGTGAGAGAGGCATTTGCTTCAGAATGTTTTGAATGTCAGTATTTGTGTTCATGCTGAGGATCTGAGCAACAATCCGACGCGAAAGGTAGTACTTTCTCTGCATTATCCCGATGGGCGTTACTATAATAATCGTATCACACTTCTCACTGGTCTCGCATACAACCTCCTATATGTTGGAAGGGGAATCAAGCTTTTCAACGAAGTACAACATACAGCCCTCCAATTCCCACGCTTTGGCATCACCCTCACGAATGATGTAAGCTAACCCGTCTTGCCGTGTGGGCAAGGGTCGGGGGGCGGAGGGGAAGGCAGGGGAGAGGGTTGTGGGGAGGGGGGCAGGCGGGGCCGCAGGGATGGAGTCCGCAAACAAAACCGAAGGGAGGGGGGTGCTGCCAACACGCAATCCAATTTTTAGGGGGGGGGGGGGTCTGCAAGCAAGGACTGGTCAGTGAAGAGTAGGGAAACAAGGAATCCTTGCAGGAACCGAAGCGGTCAGAGGAAAATTAGGTTGTACAGGGGATATACGGGAGACTACTACCAGTCATGGACAAGAAAACATCCGACAGGCCACGGAGGAAGCCAAAGCTCTGTACCTTACCCGAAACCCTGCAGCAGACAGCCAGCACATCGTAACCAAAAACCCGAAAAAAACCTAAACCTCAAACCATCCCGAAACCAAAATCCACACCCCAAAACCTCAATAAACCCTAATCAATAGGCTTGACATCTCAGTATTCCCCAAGCTTACGGAAGGGAAGCCTTGTGCAATCCCAATGATACCCCCCAACCCTAAACCTTAGCTCAGGGCTTCGGAAAAAGGAGTTCAAAAAGAAAATCTCAGCACTGAGCCATCGAGGGATCCAGCAGCAGCAGCCATCGGCTTGCGCTGATCTACGTGCTACCCGACCTCGCATCGTTTGGAAAATGATGTTGCATGAGAAGGGCATATGGCTTGAAGGATTTGGAGCGTTTAGGGTTTAGGGCTAGGAGCTTCGGGCTTCAGGGGTCTAGGGCTTGAAGGGTTTGGTGCTTTGAAGGTTTTAGGGCATGAAGGGCTTTTTTTTAGGGTTTTGGAGTTTGCAGCCTGGCTTGCCAGGCTTTGTACACAGGAGCCGAAGGTCTGAGATAGCGAGACAAGAGTCTCAGTCTGTCATGAGGGCATGGGTGAGGACGGAAATCTGACCCAATACCCTGAACCCCAGACCCCGAACCATGAACCCTCAACCTTAACCCAGAAGTGTCCTTTGCCCTTTCTGTCATTGTGTTGTTCTCTCCCTCTCCCTCTCCCTCTCGCTCCCTCTCCCTCTCGGTCTCTCTCTCGCCCTCTCTCTCGCTCCCTCTCTCTCTATAGATGCAGAGAGCCAGAGCCTACTCCGACTCCAGCCTCTAAAGGCAGCCGCGAGCTCTGGAACTTGCATCAAAGGCCTCGGACCCAAAGCTTTGCAGGTCCCTCCCTTACAGAAACCCCTTATACCAACCCTTCTCGCGATCCATATACTCGCCCCTAGCCCTAGACTAACCCTTGCACAAATCACAAACCCTTACCGTAGTCCGTGTACCAAAACTTATACAAGCCCTTGTGATAACACTCAGCCTCTTAGAGCCAAGGCTCAATGAGCTGGCTAAGCAGCGGCCTTGTCTGCCCGAGTTGCAAAGCCGGGTCCCCAAGAAGGCTTCTTTTGGGGTACCTACAAGGGTTGCGGCAAGGGTTTCAAAAAGGGTGCCTTTCCTGGGAAGGTGCCATCTTCTCCGCTTCAAGATCCCAACCTTGAAACCCAGAACAAACCCTGCTCCCCTGTACCACCTCAGGCAGACCCCAGACCCTGAGTTCTAAACACCGGACACCCTGAAGCTATAAATCCCTAGAGCCCCAAAGCCACACAACCTCTCGGATTTTTCTTCAACGCTTCGAGGCCTATCCGGCTATAGCTTATGCCCTTGAGCCCCTGCGCCTGGCCTATCCAAGCCCTTCCAGGTCTTCTCCGGCAGCTCTTGACTTTCGTGGCAACCCTGACCTTCTTGAGCACGTCGGAGCGCGACAGTAGCTCTGACCGTATTAGGGCGGGTTTTGGGTTTGGGGCTTCGTTGCACTTGGGGTTTCCGTCGGCCCGATCTGGCCTTCTTTCACCGTGCTAAACCGAAACAACCACTGCCAGCATTCGAGTCGCCAAGCTCCCATAAAAGACGTAGCCCGCCGCGACGTGCGAAGAATGCACCAGGCTTGTAGCAAGAAGCAGCTCGCTCGCTCATCCACTGCAGGCACCACCTTGAGGGATCCAAATCCAACTCACCCAGAGGTTTCATAAAAGGTCGCGATATGGAAGTCTCTTTCCAGTCCTATTCCCCATGCGCCTCATTCCAACATTCACTCAGATTTTCGAGACATCACCATGGCTGCACCAGCTGGGCGTCGTTCATCATACATCTTCCCGACGCATTTGCAATCAGTCCAAGGGCACAGATGGGGTCTTAAGCTGAGGCGTCACCTTTTAGGCGTCCTCATTAAAAGGACCCTTCCATGTAGGTTTATAGGTCAATGTCTCCGTACCAAGCAACACTGAGACATCGTGCGCTTCGTGTTCCAGCCAAGCCCTGCCTCTCCGCGCCGGAGTGCTATTTGGGAACTGGCTGGCAATTTGTCTGCATCTTGTACTCATACATGTTCATATGCGTTCTCATGTTCGAAACGTGCTGTTTGCTATCTTACCAGTTCAAGTTGATACTTTGTTTTCCATAAAACTATCTTCCTGCCACATGTGACCATCAAGGCAAGTCCGCAGAATGGCAGCAGTTCTTCGACGACTGGCGTGTGGACATGCTCAAGGTGCTTTTGGCGAAGTTTCAGCTTCGGGCTACTTTGTACCGAATCTTTACATAGAGTTCGCCTCAAGGTCCAGGATTGCTTCGAGATTGAGGGCTTCGGATTAATGAGACCCAAGATTGGTCTAAGTAGGATTGTTCCAGTTGTTCTGCATTCCTCGACAACGAAGCACAAAGAGTCTCGATAGAAGGCACATACCGTCAACCTAATCATGCACTGCATAGTCCGGAGGGGGACAGACGTGGCTTGGGACTTGAAGGCTCAACGCTCTACACCTTCTCGGGGATGTAGGAAACAACGGGCGCTGTTGATCTAAGTCTTTGGGCTTTCAGCGATGTCTGGCAACCCGAAATCCACTTCCCTGAAATCTTGGGCGCTTTGGATGCTACGTCTGGGGGCTCCTCGGCCAAGGACTCCGTAAAAGAGGAGGCTCCTGAGCAGAAGCGACCTCGTTTGGCTGAGGAGTGATCGCACCGAGTGATGCTCTTGGCTACTGTATTTGTGTTAATATTTATTTACTTGTGTTAATAATTGGGTGCAACGGGAGCGTAGTGGTGTTGGGGTTCCTGCATACGGGTTGCGTCGGGATCCGACCTATGGTTCAAGTATATCTCCGGCGGTTCCAAATGCCAAATGCATTGGTAGACAAGAGCTCGAAGCGGCCCGGAGGGGGCTGCAGGCTGAACCACGTAATGATTGGATCAGTCCGGCATGACCCTCATAAGAACATATATTCCTACATGCGTACATATAGAAGTGTACATGAATGTCATGATTATGTAGGAAGAGACGAGTGGTTAGCTCCTGTTTTCCCTCTCCAAGCTACTCCTCAAGCCTCGAGCATTGCTTGGTCCGACTCTCGCACCGGGTTTCCCATCACGACGTTGCAAGTCGGAAAAGTGATGCAGATTTCTACCGGGTGCTTCGCAGTGTTGGTCTTCTCTACTGTAGGCTCCGGGCTTGCAAACGGAGGCCTTGTTTGCGACTTCTTGCGCTGGTCCAGGTGGAGCGAATCCGGATCATCCAAATCATAGCCCCTCCACACTCCACCAATCTATGGCAATGTGGGTTAACAGGCCATTCGAGTCGCATGGTTGCAAGGCCGAGCCGTCAGCTACGGCGAGAAGGCAGCAGAGAAGGGCAGCGTGAAGCTGGGTGCCTCAGGAAACCTCGGGAGACTGGTCAAGGCTGCAGAAATCAACTGTCAGCAGAGCGTCATTAGACAGGAAGTGTGGTCCGAGCTGGAGGGGTAGGAGGAGGGATCCAAACTTGCAGTACCATGTCCTGCGAGTATGTTTATGCCGATGGGTTGGCAAGCGCGGAAGTGTCAGCAGTACACTGAACCCCGCGCTTTCTTGGCTCCCTGCACACGTCATGTCTTCAAGACTGACAAGCCTTTTGAAACGCAAGGTCGCAAGAGCTCCTAGGGAAGCTCTACTACAACGGTACCGGCTTGGAACACTTGCCTGAGCCCCAGGAGATAACAGAACGTAAGCCTTGGCTTTGCCGGGACAGGATTTGGCAACCGCCTCTCTCCTGCCTCGAGTCTCGGACAGTGGTAGACCTTCAGGAAGCTCCGGTAAGGCTTTTTGCTGCGAAGCTCCTGACGTCTTTGCAAGGGGGATCTGCAGAAAGGGGCACCTCAAGGCTCTGAGGCTCTCGTGAAAAAAGAAGGTCAAGACTGAGGACCACTGCGAGTCGAGTGTATGCTGGCGTGCATAAACAGTTCCACACACACTAGGCTTCTGTATGGTTTTGGGCGAATAGGGTTTGGGGTCCAGGGTTTAGGGGTTTAGGGTTTAGGCTTTCTGCAGTCTCTTGTATGGGGGTAGTAGGTCCTGGGATCAGTCGAGGTCCAAGGACGAGCGAATGGCGGCAGCCTTCAAGTGGTGTCTTGGTTGAAGGATCCGGTGTGTCATTAGGGGGTTGGGGCTTCGAAGCTTCGGACTTGGAGCCCTGGAGCCACGCTTCAGAATGCCCAAATACGAAGATCTGAGCAGCTTCACTGAGTGTAGAAGGTTTAGGGCCTGGCACAAGACGATCGAGCGGGTGTTGGATGCGGGAACGAGGTAGATCTCTTTTTTGAGGTTTCGGGAAGCCGCAGAAGCTGGCTCCATCCATGCGAAGAATGACCTTGGCGCATCCTGGCTGCAGAGACTTGAGCTTGGTTTGCAAACAGTCTCGGGCAGAAAGACCCGGTCGAAGTACATCCCAGAGACCGGTTGTTCCTCGCCCTAAACCCGAAACTGCTTCGAAGAGCCAAGGACATGTACCGGCTCGGGCATGGCACCAAGCAGGACTACTCAAACGCCATTTATTGGTATCAGACCCTTGGCAACGTTCTGGGTGCTTCGAGCAAGCCCGAAGGCGTAAATTTGGTATACCGCCCTATTAAACCCTAAGACCTGAACACGGAAGTCACGGAGGCCCTTCCCCAGAATCCCCTAGATGACTATTGAGCCCCACCTATACCAATCCATGGAGCCATCAAGTCAAATTACAACCCTAAACCCTTTCCCCGAAATTCCACGTCAAACTAAAGGCTGATCCTTGACCGGTAAGCCTTCGAATCGCAAACCCTTCCGTCTATTATCGCATGAAGTAACCCTTGAACAACCTTCTTTGAGGAAGGTTACCGTGGAGCTGTCGGATATTCTGGCAGCCGATCCACGTCTACCTTCTGCACAGAGGAATAAAACCTCCGTCCCTTGGGCCTCACTAGGGTGAAAAGGTTAGGATGTTCAGGATTTACGGCTGAAAGAAACGGATGTTCATCGTCACCGTGCTAAAGCCATTCTTATGATCAGTGTCCATGCCAGTTTTATTGGTACTCTTGTCGTCCCGGTCATTCTTGGTTCGGCACTGTTTCTGAATGTATATTTGCTGTCCAAACCTGGATGGGTTAGACTAGGTTGCTGGGTTTTTGTGTGAACTTCAGGAACAACATTGTTAAACATGCAGGCCTGGGCTGTGACTTCAGACCTCACCCGTTGTACGAACACGGCTCCTCGAGGATTCGAGCTACGCTACCTTTCGGGCCCAGGGTTGCAAGGCATCATGGTTCTAGCAATTGGCCTGCAGAGTTCGAAATTCTCCAGATCTGGTAAGACAGCCAACTCTATACTTCTGGCTATGCCCCAGAAGCCGAATCAATATCTGTTTGATTTGGGCCCCTACCCGAATCAATTCCGACGGGTCCCCGCCACAGGATCCCAAGTCCGGAAGTTAAGATGCTTTGCACCTTTATCCCTGGATTCCTGCGGCATTGCAAGCCAACTCCCTAAATCAACCAGAGTTAGGTGTGCTAAGAAGAAGGATCTTACTCCCTCCTTTGCCTGAAACTCCCACATACCGTGCAGAGGATTTGGGAATCCTCATAAATGCCAAGAGCATACCTGAGGTTGCCCGATCCTTCAACAGCCTCGGAGCCATGTACGCCTCTGGCTGGGGTGTTGCCAAGAATCGGACCCTTCCCACAAACGAGCCAGATGTCGCGAGGTTGGTTGTTTAGCTTTTTTGTAGGAAAGGTTGTGCTTGAAGTGCCATGCAGCGCCAATTGAGAAGCACTGGTTTATTCTGGCTTTCGCCATTCGCGATCAGGCTACAGTAGACAGGAGGTAGCATGTAGTCCTCTAGAGACCTTGAACATCAGGTTTAGACTCCGAGCTCCCACAAAACCCTCGCCGCGCTGTCGGCGAGGATCGAGTTTTGGGCGTAAGGCTTTGGGTTTGTATATACCAACTCGGTTTTCCAACACATGACAAGTAAACACAGATCGGCAGTGCAGAGTGTACAGCGCAAGCAAAGTGGTGAGGGGATCGTCAACTGGAAGCCTGAACAGGAATTCGGTCCTGCCAGCTCGTTCCCTAGTCTCAGGCTGAGCGCGACCTGAACTGGCCTCAAAAGCCCAACCGCCTGCAAGCCTGATCTTTTGCACGAGCTTCTTTTGTCGAATATGCCTGCATCCCCCCTAAGGAATCGCGCGATTGAGTATTTGGAGCAGGCCCCGAGCACGATTCAGTGATCTGGGTTCGGGATTTCGGGTGGCTACTGGTGGTTTTGCTCAAAGTTCAGCCCCTGAAAACTCTTTGACAGTCGGCGCTGTAGCAGGCATTCCTTTACACAGTGTCGCCGATAGTGTTCGGATGCAAACTCGCAGACTTGGACATGTAAGCTACGTCAAAGGAAGCCTGAAGTTACTAGTACTTTACACCGTGTTAGACTCTTTCAGGCTTCGCGACAGGCGAAAGGAAGCCCCCTGTCGTGCCAGGCGGAGGCTCTGGGCCACCCGCATGCGAAGCGCAACCTGGAGACCCTGCGTCCGAAGAAGGAGCCAAAGGGAGCTCAGGGCCGAGGGATTCGGGGCTAACGGCCAAGGCCCTCTGCTCAACTCTTTGGGCGCAGTTTCTCGGATTCTTGGAAGCATCCACAGGCTTTCTGTGGGGCTTGGGGGTTGGTGCACGGAACAGACACAGCAGAGCCACAATTCGTTTAATCAGTTTAATCTGCAGGCGGGCCAAGTTTCGCATAGTACTCCAGCGGATGCACTCCTTCTGTTCGAGCTCCGAGTTTGGAGCTCAGGGTCGCTACGGCAGCTTGATTCCGTATAATACGGGAGTTTCAGAAACTAAGGCAACGGTAACGATCCTCAACGAAAACTACTGTCGGCACCCACAGTGGGTACTCTAATCTTGGGACCCCCCGCACATAGCCCCACCACCCATACAGACATCAGCTTAAGCAGCCCCATGCAAGCAGGAGACGATCCAGGCAGAGCTGTAGAGCCGATCGGAGCTGATTGGCACTGGGATCGTGGACATCTCACAGAAGTTGAGAGTCCAAAGCCAGAAACTCAAAACACCTCCAGACCTGCGCATCTGGCCCGAATTCCCAAACATGCATACCGTGCCAAAGTGTAAGCGTGTAAGCAACTACGTACACCTGATGTCGGCATAGATCGCATCCGAGTTGGATGTTCATGGGATCTTGCAGCACGATCGGGAGTACTTCGCGTACATGGCCACCTTAATCAGTCGTGTCTACACCCGTGAAGCTTCAAGTAGGCTTCGCTGCTTGAGTATCTGTTGGCGCGAGGAGAAAAGGTGCAGGTGCCGACAAGGGCCGAAGCAAGGATAACCTTTCGTGTTGTTTTTTCCCGGATGGCTAGCTAGTTAGCGGTCGTCGATGCCGCAAGTCACTCTCACCGCGGAAGTAGCCTTTCTGAACTGAAGCTTTCAGCCCAGTTTGAAGACAACTTCAACGCCTACGTAAGGGGAAGACCCCCAGATCCGAAGCTGCAGGGCTTGAGGGCTGCACAGAAGCGAGGCCTTTACGGTGACACTTGGAGCCACCTCGGAAGCCACCAAGTGGACCTCGCAACTTCCATGCAGACTAAATGTGACTGAGTCTGTCCTTCAAGCCTTTGAGTGGGACGATCTCGCTCCGGAGCCGCTCGATTCAAGAGCGGAGGTGTGTGCAATTGTCGGAGTGTGCGTGCTGATGCGACACCTGCGAGCTAGTAACCGTAACACAAGCTCTGGTGTGCTTCAACCCAAACATCCTAGATGCTGTCTCATGTTAGAACCGCGCCAGGCGCCTGCGAACGCAGCTGCGGCCACAGAGCTGAGGAGGTCGGGTTCAGGGGTTGCCGCGTGGGAGCTGGTAGCACAGCGGCACAGAGCTGCTGTCTTGGGAACACGTGCTTAGGGCTGTGATGGAGGCAAATTGCTTACAGAGGTGCGTTTGGAAGCCCGTCGATCGGACCCTTCGATGTCTAGGTTCTGAATTCTAGATTGCATGAAGATTCTTGCTGAAGAAAGCCAGGCGCTTGAATGCAAAGGCGCTGACGGAGGAAGAGGCGAGAACAGGGCAATTCCTCCCATGAAGCACCCAGTCAGGGGATCTGATAATGGTGAAGAAGCTTGAGCTGAATGTCAGAAGAAGATGTTCATGGCTAGTGTTGACCGTTATGCAGAGATCTTGAAGATCCTGGAGAATTTGGTCAGGAGCAGACTCTTGAAAACACAGGAGAAGCTTGGCAGGTCGCAGAAACCTCAAACTTTGTTCGGACAAGCTACCCGCAGAGAGTTTATCGTAAATGACCCTGATTCAGTTAGATGATACCTTGCCTATTTAGGCTGAAAAGGAAAAGGCGATGGAAAATGATAAATAATATTATTACATGATAATATTATTGATCTTGTTCTAAGGACTTTATTTATGTAGATACTCAAAAATAAAGCTAATCAATAATAATGATAAAGTTATTCAATGATGAAATTGGTAAGAAAATAAATATCAAAATATTTAGCTTAACTAAAAAATATGCAAAAGAATTAATAACATCATATTTTAGTTTTTACAATTGGAGAGAAATAACAAAGATTAAAGTAAAAACCGAAGAATTATTAAATGAAATAGGAATTATATAATATATTATATAATGCCTTCTTTAGACGAACGAATAAACAAGAAACTAGATGAGCAACTTCAACGAGTTAAAAAACGAACTAATCACATTTACCTCATTACAGAACATAATAGATAAACTGGAAGCATTAGAGAAAGATGTAGAAGAGTTGAAAAGTAAAAACAAATGCAATAAACATAAATGTATGCCGTTCAACTGTTGTAGCTTCAGTTTAATCTGATATTTCAAAGCGTTTTTCAAAGCGTATAAAAAACATGTTATTAACATCTTTAGCGTTAGTGTTTATATAGAAAAAGAATAGGGAGCATCGTTTACTGCTTGTTGATACATATCATACAGTGTTTTTTTATCCACTAATGCTGAATTTTCTTCTAAGAAACTATTTACTTCATTCATGTTCTTTAGTCTGAATATAAACAACGCACTGCTATTGAGTCGTATAAGACATTGTATTTTTGCGCTGATAAATACATGAAATTGCCGAATGTCTTCCACGAGTAAATAAACCATGTAGAAAATTTGAATATCTCACGAATTTAGGATCATCCGCAAAGTCGTCCACCACTATTAAAATGCTAAATAACTCTTTTTGTTTATCTTTCTTTTGATAATCAATGACTTTATGCTGTGTTTCTATTATTTTCTTTAATGCCACTGGGTCGTATTCCTCATAATAAATCTGTTCTTTTTCTGCATCTACTTTCATTACGTCGCTTATGTATTTCTTTACCGCCGTCCAAGTGTCATCAACGTGAATACTTGGACTAAAAATATATATTCTTTCAAATGAGCCACGGTATATTTTCAGTTTTAAGTTCTGTATTAAAACCGATTTGCCACCCGTTGAACTTGCTACGGCAATCATTCTAGCGGGTAGTTTCGGTAATATTTCATACTTACTGTTCTTATACTTATATTGTGGTATGTCAATAGGTTCTACTGTAGGGATATCTTCCATTATTATAATATAGTTTATATATATTATATAATAATGAAAACTTACATTGAGACGATAGATGAAATTCAAAAGATAGAAGAAGTAATAATCAAAGATAGCAAACTCAAGCGATGTTGTAATAGTTCCTTAGAAATTGTTAAAATATTATCACAATACATAAAAACATTTAATAAAAAATCTAAATAAATACGACAGAACAGTGTTGCCCATACACTGGCCCCAAGTGAAAAAAGAAGTAACAGCCCCATCAAATATTCTATTTTAATTAGTTTCGTTAAGTCTTAGGGATGTATATATGCACGTTTTCATAATTTCATATTATGAAAAAGTGTGAAATATAATAATATCATGCCACTAAAAGTAGATTGTATATTAGTTGATTTTAAACCTTATACTAAAATTATGGAAACAGGTAATGATTTTAATAGGACGTGCTTACGTTGTAAGCAAGTTAAACACATTGATTTTTTAAGCGTTGCTATTACTCCGCTAGACATTCTTATTATTATGTTAAATACACTGCTACTTGTTCTGAATGCTTAGATGAAAACAGTTTAAAGGGATAGTGCTATCAATATTATTAAGATGGAGAAAATCAAATGCACAAGATGCCACAGTAAAAAAACTGCCGCAGAGTTCGGGTTCAATAGATTGGGGCAACCATGGCACAATTGTATTAGATGCAGAGAGAAGAGAAAGGAATACAAGAAAACTAAGATTGTGGATAAGAAGCCTGAAGTGGAAGAGGTTTTTGATCACGTTCACCAGTT